CCATGCGCTTCCCCAAACTAGCTCCCCCGCCAGCTTTCCTGTGTCTTCCCCAAGAAGCCTCGTTCTTCTAATCAACAGGCAACAGCATCTTGGTATAAGCGTGGCTTGTTCAAGCTAACTGTACAAATTTTTAGTGAGTATCCACTCTGCATAAGGGTTTATACTCCATGAGGTAGAGATTATAGAGGAGAACGTATTCATACTTCCAATGAACTTTAATCCACTATGGGTAACTATACAGTGTACAAATTACTAGACTTTACAATCACACATAAATAGGATAAGAGAAGTTTTTAAAGTGTCATTAGCGCTCAGAAAATGTAAAGAACTTACTTTGTTATCAAGAGAGTCTTCAAATAGTGAATGATATTTAGGATAATTCTTTTTTCTATTTTTTTTTTTTGGAGAGGTTTTTGCTATAGGGCATGTGTGCTCGCCAGAGAGACAGAGAGAGACAGAGACAGAAAGTGAGAAATCACCCCCCAGGGGGGATGGCTACGCAGCAATCCCTTCTCCTCCATTCTCCTTTCGGGATCTTGGGCATGCATGCACACATACCTGGCATGAGTTTAAGCCACCGGATCTGGGACTCAAACCATGGTCAACTACATGGGAGTCCAGCAACATAGCTATTATGTCAACTGCTAGTCCCAGTATTTAGGATAATTCTGAAAAGATAGGTACACTTAGTACGTAGCAACTAATGATTTGAGAGGTCTAGCAGAGTCAGTCTAATACTGTAGGCTGGGGCAGACATGGGAGGAATGAGGGTGAGGAAAATTCAGCTAGTATGTTGACACAAGAGACTGAGCAACTGACAAGGCAATAAAAGAAAAGGATCTTTAAAAGGATATTTATTTGGCAACAGTTATTAATAGATTGGGAATCAACTGAAAAAAGGGAAGAAATCAATGATGAGCATAGAGTGCGAAGTCAGGATGGTATGCAGGCTGAATAATGACTCCCCTCTTTTCCCACCCGGAATATATCCATGTCCTGATCCCTAGAACTTGTGACTGCTATCTCACATGGCAAAAAGGATTTCCTGTGATTACATTAAGGATCTCAGGCTAGAAACGTGATCCTGGGCTGTCCAGGTGGGCCTGGGATAATCACGGGAGTCTGTTGGAGGATGCAGGAGGAGCCGGACAGAAGAGAAGGTGATGTGACGACAGAAACATCAGATGATGCTCTCTGGAGGAGGAAGGTGGCCACTAGAAAAAGGCACAACAAACAAACACTGAACCCTGAACCCTGTGGAAGGAAACAGCCCTGTCAACATCTTGACTTCAGCCCAGTGACAGTGATGTAGACTCCCGACCTCCAGAGCTGTGCGAGTTAAATGTGCGTTGCTTTATGCCACTAGGTTTAAGGCGATTTGTTACAGCAGCCACAGGAAACCACGGATGGTTAGAGGGTGGGGCTGTCAACAACAGAATTAGGAAAGCTAGGAGATGCAGTTAATTTAGAGAAAAGATAGTCCATGTTTGGACTCACTCTGATGGACTGGCATGAGAATCGGAAGGAGTGTCCACTAGGTCACTGGGAATGTGGAAATGACACTCAGGCAAGGAAAAGGTCGGAACTGGTAGATAAGATCTAGAAACGACGGGCGCGAGAGCAGTGGTCAGAGGATGGGTGTCAAATGATAAACAGAGATATAGAAAGAGTAGAAAAGAACCAAGTAGCAAGAGCTCAGGATCAGCAGGTGGCAAGGTAGTTCAGGTGCTGGACTGCTACCTTGTCGATAGTGCTTCAAGTCCCAGACTCAGAAGCTTGAAAATCATGCTGGGCACATGTGCGTGAGTGCCCAAAATCCTGAGAGGAGCATAAGGGAGAAGAAACTGTGGCATGGCCATCCATCTTTACCTCTCTCTCTATCTCTCCCTTTCTCTGGTGGGCACACATACCCTAAGAAAAAAAAAAAAAAAGCAAGAGCTCCCACATTTAACAAGTGGCAATACAATGAAAAAGAACCAGGACAGCTGAAAAATGACAGGAAGGAAGCTTAAGAGAGAAAGTGAGGTAAGGCCAAGAAAAAACACACACAACAGGAAAGTATATATATATATATATGTGTGTGTGTGTGTGTGTGTGTGTGTGTGTGTGTGTATAAAATGATCCAAGTTTGAAAAAGGAGCAATCTGAACACATACATGCTATGTTTATACAAGTAGTATGCTGGCATGTGTTTATGTGCGTAGTAAAAAGGCCTGGAAAGCTCCTAACCAAATCATTACCAGTGAGACGTGATACAGGAGACGGTAATAACATGAAGGTGAACCTCCTTTTCTATTTGGTACATTTTTGTGATGTAAAACAATTTTACAAAAGGACTACCTCTGTAACTTTTGAAAATTGTTTTTTTTTTTTTTTTTTTTTTTTTTTTTTTTTTTTTTTTTATAAAGGAAGCAAGAAATGTTTATGAAATATTATAGAAAGAATAGCCAGGAAGAAAATCAGGACAGTGGTGCTTCACGGAAACATAGGGGAGAGCATGCCAAGGGAAAGTTAGCAGAGCATGCCAACTGCTACATGCTGACCAGGGGAATCTAGAGCTGTCAGAAGATCTCAGCACAGCCTTGAGGAGATCACAGTTGAACATCTGTTAGAAGACAATGGTGCATGTGGAACAGCAGTAGTTAAAAAGGAATAGAAGGGGTTTGGTTTCCAATATCAAACTGACGCCAGATGAAAAGAAAAGTCTGAATAGTCCAACATGGCCATTTTTGTCTCTCTCTCTCTTTTTTTTAAAGAGAGATTTTTGGTATAGGGTGTGTGCACTCAACAGAGAGACAGAAAGCAAGAAATCACCCCTCCACACACACATACACACCCAGGGGAGATGGCCATGCAGCAACCTCCTGAGCAGAGAATGCAGAAATTCACGTGTGCACATGTGTCCAGCGTGAATTTTAAGCCACTAGGTCCAGGACTCAAACCACGGTCAACTACATGGGATTCCAGTAAGGTAACCATTATGCCATCTGCTGGTCCCCAGTATGGTCAGGTTTCTAAACTCTGGGTTCCAACCCCTCTGATTTTTCCTGCATGGGACTGACTGCTTTGACTCTTCTTCCTCAAACACTCATTCTATCTCTTCACTTTTTATTTCAAAAAACTTTGGAAGTTTCTGCTCACTAGCCTATCCATTACCTAGTTTTCATGCTACTCTCCTACCACCCTCTAGCACATTCCCAGAGGCTAAGCATACCATCATCTCTCAGTTATGCCAACTCACAGCATCTCATATCTTTATTCTCGTGTCCCTTGTCACCAAAGGTATCCCATCTCTGGCCAAATCTAACCTCTTCTTCAAGGTCCACCTGGGTCTAATCTCTTGCAGGAAGCTTTCCTGGCTGTTCTCAGTCCTCACGTTTGCCGTCTAGCAAATCTATGGCGACACAACGTCATTAACTTCTCCTGTAGGGAGGCCGCTACTGTCTTATGAATTAGTCAGACTGTTTTTTTGTTTTTTGGTTTTTTTTTAAAGAGGTTTTTGCTATAGGGCGTGTGCACTCTCCAGACAGACAAGACAGACAGAGAGACAGAAAGTGAGAAATCACCCCCAGAGGGGATGGCCACGCCACAATCCCTTCTCCTCCGCTTTCCTCTCAGGATCTTGGGCACATGCACACATGCGCCCAGCGTGAGTTTAAGCCACCGGGTCCAGGACTCGAACCACAATCAACTACATGGGAGTCCAGCGACATAGCCATTATGCTAACTGCTGGTCCCTTAGTCATACTTTTTCAACTAAATGCTAAGTTCATTGAGGAATGAAACTTTTTTAAACTTCTGCTACCCCTGAAGCAAGTACTCCAGGATTAGGCACATAGGTAAGGGTTCGATAAATACTTTTCTGTAAGTATTCAACAGTAGCCTGTTAAATGAAAACATAAACCCGAGAGTTTATTTCTATGGTTCTTGTCAGACTCTCTAGACGCTCATCCAGATCTCAACACCATCTTCAGCGCCATCTGTAGGAATCTACAAGGCTCTTAAACAACTATTTAAGAAACACATGATTAAAATAAACAGAGGTAGAGAGAAGGGGACAGATGTGCTAAAATTACATAGCTAGAGAGGAAGATAACTTGATTTGTCAAGTTGCATAAGGAAAGGGCACTGAGTTTTAGATTCTGCTGCTGCCAATATCTGATAAGAATATGCCAATACCCAGTAGGGCCACCTTCTCTGTCTTCTCCCTACCCTGAGTCCCTGTGGACATAGGATGAGCCATGGGGCTTCAGGGATGAGTTTAGTGTACACTTCTAAACAATTCTGTACCTTGTATTCATTATGTATCCACAACTATTTGGATATGGAGACAAAATAATAATATCTTCTAAAAAGTAGCTAGTTACTAGTTACTTAGTATCTTTTCTCACTATATACTAACAGAAACTCCAAATGATAAATTATTTAATTGTAACCAAGTACCATCAAAACAGCAACTATAAGTCAATCTTATTTAGACAGATTTTTCAAACAAGAAATTTGCATTAATAACGAAACTATCAATATTATTTGTGAATATGTATAATTTCAAGGGAACAATAGATTTCCTGAGGGGTTAATTCACCAAGTAAAGAAATCCCTGTAAGCAAAAATTCTCTCAAATTCCATTCCATTGATGACTGCCTAACAGCTTCCCTTTCATTTAAACCAAACAAAGCTTTATATCATCAAATCATTCCCCTTCTCTCTAATTAGACAAATCTGGTTGCTCTTCTCTCTAGACAGATTAAAAGGTTGGGGTGTTTTGTTTCTCTAGTATTTCAGAGTCCTAATCCTCAGAGCACTGTAATGACAGGAAGGATCATGTGATTTAGAGCGGGCAGGCTCCAAGGAAATGTATCTGAGGGAAAGATACAGCATGCACAATGAGGAGAGTCTGTAAAAACAAACACAGGATCCTGTAAAAGGCAGTGGGCTGATCCAGCTACTCCCAGCCTCACGGCACTGATCTGGAATTTTGCAGGCAGCCCTGAACTTACCCAGGTTGGAGGATGCTCTCCCCTCTGCAGCCCGGTCCTTGAGGTCCTCAGCAATGCCCAGCTGCTGCTCATGAAACTGTTTCGCCCTCTCCAAATCCTGCATGCACCTAGCGGCGTGGCCGAGGCCGGCGTAGGCACGCATCTCAATGGCTTTCTCCATCAACTCCTGTGCCAGCTCCAGCACGTAGTTGTGGTAGGACATGGCCTTGTCGAAGTTCCTCCGGTAGTGGTACGCACTGCCCAGGTTGCTGTAGGCCCGGGCCTCTTCCCGCTTGTTCCCCAGGTCCTTGGCTATCTTCAGATGCTGCTCATGGCACTGCACGGCATTCTCAAAGTCACCCATGGCGATGTACACGGCCCCCATGTTGCCAAGCTCTCGAGCTTCTGAAAGTTCGTCTTTGGATTGCTTGGCGAGAAGGACACACTGTTTGTGACTGGCCAGCGCGTTGGGGTAGTCTCCGATGGCTGTGTACACGTGGCCCAGACTGCTCAAGGCTGAGGAGGCTGCCTGGAGAGAAAGGATAAGGCAGAGAAATGAAAGCACATCCCAAAAGGGCGTGGGCTTGTTTCAGCAGATAACATTTTACAGTTTGCCCGGAACTACCCAGTCCGAATCCTGATGGTGTTCTATCAGTTTTCCACAGACCTATGCAGAACTGATAAAGCGTATATCCAAACAGCAAGTTCCCAATAAAGACAATGGAAATTTAATCAGGAACTTTCCATACCTAATCTCGTAGACACAGCTTGTATGCCATGTAAACCTCATCTTAAAAGACTTACTGCCATTTCTAATATTCATTATGATATTATATCTCTTTTAATACCTATTAACCTTTGTGGTACAAGGAAATACTGAAGAAAACCACAATTAATCACTACATACAACAGATCATAAGAAATTCCCAGGAACAAAAAATCCATGCGTGGCTCTTTACACTCCCGAGCATTTCTCCAGTCTTGTCTTCCTTCCAGAGCGAACGGATACATTCACGATAAGGGAGGCATTCACCATGATAACTGGCCATTCTGTTACCCAGGGCCCACTGGAGGGTACTGCTCTCCTGTTTTGTCCCTCCCACGTGGTTTCAACAAGCTGGGGATGGTGGAGGCTTAGCTTGGGAGGGCGTCGTCTCAGAGGAAAACGATGTGTGGGTTACACCCTACCCCCTCAGTGGGGTGGTCCGCACTGAGCCCTGCTACCCCTTCTCAGGCTCACGTTGGTCTTTAAGCTTTTCTTCTCTTTTCTTGCCTAGAGTCCTCCTACCTCCCAGCCTCTCTGTGCGGAGAAAGGCTATCTCACTAGTCCCTTTGCATTGCTCGCCACTCGTTCATTTCTTGCTCACAAATCCTTTTGCCTCAAGGGCTTCAATAAAATGACTCCACACCAGGACACAGGACTATACAGGAGCAACACAATGACAAAGGAGATGCTACGTGGTTTCCACAATCTGCCCAAGTGCACAGTCTTAGAGTCTAGTCTTCAGTTCCTAGTTCCTTTGCAGAGATCTAAGAGGGAAGGTACGCTAGGCTTTTTCTGCCCTCCTCTTTATTCTAAATGTTGGAAGCTTGCCTACCCTTCCCTTTCTTCATCACATGCCTATAGCTAAAGCCAGGTAGCCTCCTTTCTTCGAGCTGTTCCCTCTAAGTAGCATGAACATGTGATGCTGGCAGAACAAAGGGTGTGCTCTGCCTCACGTAGGCGAGTAATCTTCCTGAGGGCCTCCAGGCTAGGAAATAACAATGAGAAGATGCTGTCCCTCCTAGAGTAAGGGCATTCCTTTATGAGATGTGTTCTACGTCTGTGCACTTCAGAATACTTTTATTAATATTTTATAGATATGAGTGATTTGCTACCCTATTTTCTTTGCCTGTGAAATAGCAGCTCTTGATCAAAATGACTGGAAAGACCATTTTTTTACAGCGCTTGCAAATAGTGTATTTGCAAAGTGTTCCATATTGTTTTAGGTTGCTTTTGTCATTTCGCAGATGTTCCAACAAAAAGATTTAGAAAATAGAGAGGAAATACATACTTAAAATATATTTTTTTTGTATTTTTCTGAGTGGTGGGGAGCAGGGACAATTCCCAGAAGTCACAAGGTTGCAGTCATGCCATTCAGCAGAAGTGACAAGGAGTTCCCCAAAAGCATGCCATTTGGATGCCCACCAGCCGCAGATCCCCACACTGGGACTCAGGTGAGGGCCTCGTGTCAATGCTTCGTACGTGGGCATTTCTGCTGCTCATGCCTGCCCCGGCTCTGACAGTCCTTTCCACCAGTGCTGCAGGCCCAGGGACTTAGCCTCTTCCTTTCAACTGCAGTTGGCCCTCCTCATGTTATTCTTTGAGGTTCTACTTCACCCACGACAGGACACAGTTTACAAGCACTCCACCCCCAAATCTTCATCGCCCTCAGAATAAAGCACACAGCCTTTATCACTACGGACCTAGTGTGGCTCGCAGTCAGACGCACCTCGTTCAGAACTGCACTGCCATTTCCCAGCTCTGGATCTGCAGAACCTGACTTCTCTGAGCCTCAGTTTTCCAGATGGACCTTTCTAGATTCCAGCAGCAAGCCAGGCACTGAGTGTTTTCAAACTTCGCCATAAGCTCCTTTCACATATGTAAGCCATAAATAATTCACGAGATAATTCCAAATAGTAGCTCTGATTGGGGCCAATGAGCCCTTCAACACTGCAGGGGATGGATTTATAAGGCTCGGGGCAGGCATAGCCCCCCAAGGCGTCACTGTTCTCAGGAACTTCTGGTTTATGGCAACTCTAAATGACAGCCCAGGGAACTTCTGCTGCAGTCCCTCATTTCTTTAAATGCCAGAGAGACACAGGAGCCCGCTTACTGAGGCTCTCTGAACATAAGGAACGGGACTACTTGGACTCCTCCCCTCTGGAGCGTGGTGGGGAGAGGAAGGACTGCCACATTAGCTCTGCCCTGGCACCCTGTATTCCCAAGAGCACTGCCAGGCTGCGACTCTTGTGGTGGGTGTTCTGAAAACCAGCTCTCTAGAAAGGATGACACAACTTATGAAGTACCCATGCTAGCTTCTGGAGTTAGCGAGGCGGCTTGGTATAACATGCAGAGTAGAATAGGATTTTATGTCAGAGGCCCTGGTTGTGTAACCCTAATACGTCATTTGACTTCTTTATTTGTAAAATGGTACTAACAGCCATGTCGTTCACACTCCACAGGGGTGGGATGGGTGCAGCGCCAGCGAGTGCCCTGGTAAACTGTACAGTGCTCTGCAAACAATCACAAAGGTAGGGTGGGCGTTTAATGATGACGTGCTGGCCAGGCTGATCTGTTACCAAGTGGAAGCTAGCAATGGCAACCGAAAACATCCGTCATTATGACCAGACGTCTATATTCCTATCAGTTGCCACAGGAAATGAAGTCCAGTGTTTTACAGCCTCTGGGCAAATAACATGTGATGATATTTATCAGCTAAGTGAATTACAAATTAATCACTTGTCTTTGTTCTTGTTCCTGTAGAATAAGCTTAGATCTGAAACATGGTTTCGGGCTGTTAATGAGAATCTGAAGACCCACTATCTACTGGGAATCACAGGCCCCACCTCAAGCAGATGCTGCATTTGCCACTAAGGTTCACACTGCCTTTGTATATTAATCTCTTTGAGATTTTTGTGCTAGAATAGCAGCAGCTGCTTCCCACAGTGGAAACATTTCGGAACATCTGTATTTGAATACTAAAATGCACACAAACAGTTATGCTAACAAACTATCTGGTTGGAATAAGACGACACTTTTTCTACAAGATATAAATTGCTTAATGTTCTTGCCAAAGCATAATTTCCAGCTGCAAACTTGGGCAAACAGGAGTCAGTCACCCCTTGCTCTGTAACCTGAATATTTGCACAAACTGCGTTTGACAAGTAAGTTTCCTGAAACTAGAGGAAAAATATCCACTCATTTTCTGCAAACCACCTTTTAGCTTGAAAAATAAAGTTTAAACTATCTAAACTATAAATACATCGAGTACAAAACAAAACAAAACAAAATACTATGCTGATGATTTAAATATGTTTCCTTCCATTTAGTATGTTTTCCCCTCTTGTTGTACAAATATTTCATAAGGGTTATATTTTGCACAAGGACTAAAGGCACAGTGGGGTTATATAGAGAATCTTCAGTATAACTGCTGACTGATTAATTGCATATAATTGGAAAAATAGGTAGTGTACCTACAACTAGTACTTGAATACTGTTTTTCTTTTTAACTGCCCAAATCCACATGTGCAGGTATCCCCTGTCAGTTCAGTGCCCACAAACCCACGGTCCCCTATCAACCACACACAACCCAGTAGGCACAGGGACACAGAATAGGGGTGGGCTCTGGAACCAGACATGCGGGTACAGAAGACACATTGTGATAATGCACATTATGTAACATCTTGGAGCCTCAGTTCCTTCATCTGTCCAGTGGGCATATTAATACCTCACAGAGGCTTGATGAGTACTAAGACAGTTCTCCTAATGAGCCTGGTTCAAGGCTTGGCTCATAGAAGATGCTCAAAATTTTAGATTTTATTGGCTTTTCCTATCCCAACCAAGATAGCACCCTTATCCTTTATTCATGTCAAATATGTGGCAGAAGATGGCCAGAAAAGAGAACATGACGCTATAACACAACACAAAAAGCTCATCCCGCTGATGATGGGAAGTATGATTAACTTCATGTCCTGAGGAGAGCACGCTACTCATATTACTCTACTGCAAATATGAGGGGGTCTTCAAAATGTTCTTGGGAAAATGAATATTATGAAAAAAACTATACAGGTATTTCAAATTATTTTTATGCACAAAAATTAATTTGTACCTTAATTCCACTTTTCCACAACAAGAAACTTTTTGAAGTGTCTGCATCTATGCGTAAGAAATGTCCCTCTTCACTAAGGGACATTTCAGAATCATTGGTATACCCAACACACAATCTTGTTAAGGGCAGTTTACTCTTCTTCTTCTTCTTCCTTTTTTTTTTTTTTTTAGAGAGGATTTTTGCTATAGGGCATATGCACACACCAGAAAGAGAGAGACAGACAGAAAGTAAGAAATCACCCCCCAGGGGCGATGGTCATGCTACAATCCCTTCTCCTGCATTCTCCTCTCAGGATCTTGGGCATGCACCCACACGTGCCCAGCATGAGTTTAAGCTTCCAGGTCTGGGACTCAAACTGTGGTTGACTACATGGGAGTCCAGCAACATAACCATTACACCATCTGCTGGTCCTGAGGCAGTTTACTTCAAATAGTCAAAGCTTATACAATCATTGGAGTGTTTGGGTGGTTGGTTGCTTTGTGCTTTAGTTCATGAATTCAAGAAAATTCTCTAGGCTCACATAAATGTAATCAACTAATCTTAGATGAGGAAAAAAGATAGGTCAGTGAAAAAAGGGTATTTTTTTCAACACATGGTGCTTGACCAAATGGACACCATATGAAAAAAAAAATTAAACTAAACATACTCTACCTTTCAC